ATGTTTTTATAAATTTTACAATGTTTTATTATGTAAAATTTTAAAATACCAAAAATAAGATTTTTTATAAAATTAAAATTTTGAATTAAGTACAATGTTTCTCAAGAATCTTTAAGAATTTTTCTATAAAAATTTAATTTTACATGCTTTAGAACTCAGAAAATAACCTTAATAAATTTCAATAAATGTTTATAATACAGTTCAGAAATGCATTGCCATAAACAAGTTTTATTTATTTTTTATTTATTTTTTATTTACTAAGACCTAAAGTGCTAAAAATAACCCCCCCCCCCAAAATTTATCAAATTTTCTAAATTCTCAAATTATATGCTAATCGTTATTTTAAACAAATTTGCTTACTATGCAAGGACCGATTTGTATATAAAAAAATTATGTTTTATATGTGGTTACGATCATTATCTAATTAGATTAAATCATCATGAAAATCAAAATTCCGGTGATCACTGTCAGGGGAGTGTACGTATACGTATTACAGTGCTGCAAAAAACAAAGACAAATTAGCAACATTAAAAGCATTTTATCAACGGAATTATCAAATTTTCCCTAAAGATAAACTCACAAGTGAACTACTTAAACTTAAAAACCTCAACGCTTATTTCACCTACAAATGTCAAACGTCAATTGATTTCTACTAATTATTTCACGTGTGTACTTAAGAGGTTAATTATTTATTTAACACAATAAAAATATTAGCTTATCCATCTAAATACTTTGTTCATATAGCTAATGATAAAGTAATAATAACCAATGAAATTATTTAAATTATTCATCTTCCAACTATCTGGTATATATGTTTTAAAAGACTAAAATTATAAAGTCTATTGCACTTGACCTCACTAATATCAACCAATTTGGATCATTTTTATATTCATGTTAATAGTAATATTAATGAAAGGCCATATTAAAAGTTGACATATATGAGTATAAATGGGAGTAAAATTACTCTTCTTAATAAAAGTTTTATTGAAATTGTTTAAATTAGTTTTGCAATATTAAAAAATTAATTTAAATTATATAAATTAATTAAAACTAAGCTAAATCAAATGTTATAGTTTTTTAGGGTTTAATTTATAGAATTTATAGAAATATTCAAAATGTTGAAATTATTGTTGAAAATATTGTTGAAATTAAAAAAGATTGAACCCCAACTATATATATGAGAGTTTTAATATAATGTAATGTGAATATATAGAAATTCATTTTATTATTTAGGTTGATATTAACAAGGGTTGAGTATATTAAACTGTGAACTTAGGGCTAGAGCTAGTGGATTTCAATTGAGTTTATGTATCCTTATTATCATTGTTATTACTATAATTATTACGCTCCCCTTTTTTTTTAAGAAATAAAATTGATTTGAAATTTATATAAATTTATATAAGATTACAAAAAGTTATATATATTGATATTGAAAAGTTAAAATCGTTAACGAATATATGACGAGAATAAATCATTAATATGTATAAAAGAATCTTTCCAAGTATATGAGCTCGAAAAAAGGCAAAATTCTTCAAAACAAAAATCTTTAATTCAAAATTAACTCGAAAATATTTTTCACTTAAGGGACAAATGCGATTTTATCAATAAAATTTTATAGTATAACCTTTTAAAGTTTATATTTTCTTATTATTTAATATAGATTTTATAATATAAAAATCAATTTTTCGTAAACCCACGTAAGAGTAAACAAAATTTGTATTCAGAAAGAATAAAATAATTCTATATGCTTAAGATTCAAGAAAGTCTACGCAACTATATATAGGTAAAATTAAACAAATGATATATTTATATCGAAACAAGAAAAGAATAAAACTAGTAAATAAAAAATAAATATTTATTCCAACCGTTAAATAATTTATTCTCTCACGTATATAAAGAAATTCAAATTCATTTATTTCCACTCCTTTCATTCAACCATTTATAAATAGAACTAAAATCTTTCTTTTCATAATCAGGAGATTTAGACAAAGCATTATAAATTTGTTGAGTAATAGCACCCAAAATAATAGTAGCCTGTACATCATTAGCAGCATTAACAGCCAATCTCAAATCTTTTGCTATTAAAGTATTACCAAATCCACCTTCGTAATCTTTACTTGATGGTACATTTGGCATAATACCAGGGCATGGATTATAAGTATCACTTGACCAACATCTACCAGAACTTGTATTTAATATATCTGCTAATAATTTAGGATCAATTCCTAATTTTATACCAAGATTCATTGCTTCTGATACACCGATCATAGAAATTGCCAAAAGCATATTGTTACAAATTTTAGCAATTTGACCTGTACCAAGACCTCCACAATGTACAATATTTTTACCCATATATGTTAAGTAGGGTTTAGATTTTAGAAAATCCGCTTCAGTTGATGCACCGACCATGAAAGTTAAAGTAGCTGCTTCAGCACCGACAACTCCTAAAAACGTTATTAATATAAGGTTTTTTTTTTAAAAAAAAATTCCGTTAATAAGCTTTTAAAACTATATATAAATTTATATAAATTTTTTTTTTTTTTTTAAAAAAAATTCATACCTCCAGAAACTGGCGCATCAATCTGTCTAGCACCTTTATCAATAACTTTCTGAGCAACATCTTTTGAAACGCTTTGATCAATAGTACTAGAATCAATAAAGAAACTCTGATTATCTAAACCTTCAATCAAACCATCTTTTCCTAAATAAACATCTTTTACATGAGGAGAAGATGGTAACATAGTAATAATAACCGAGGCTTTTCTTGCAACTTCGGCAGGAGATTTAGCATGATAAATTGGTTTTTGAGAAATAGTTGTAGAATGTAAAGAAGTAAATTTTTCTATAGAAGATTTGTTTATATCATGAATAACTAATGAAAAATTGGATTTAGTATATAAATTATTGGCCATTCTGAAACCCTACATAAAAAGTAAAAATAAGTTGTTTTTTTTTAATAATGTTTGAACTACATAAGATGAATAATATAAATAAATAATCTATTACGATATTTTACGATATTTTACCATTTGACCAAGTCCAATAAACCCAATTGTATCATTTTTAGAGTGCTAAATTATAAACATATAACGATAGACAAAAAAATTATTACATGATTTTTTAATTCGTAATAAGAAAAAAAGGAGTCACATCTTACATCTATTAAAACATAAAAATAAAATCAAAATAAAATAAAATAAAAATGTAAACATAATTAATATCAATTCCTTAAAAATTTTAAGTTTATATATCATTAAAATAAATTTATACCTGAAGTAGAATAACGACGTGCAATGTTAAAACCAATCTTAACCAAACGGACTTTAAAATTCTCAGAAACGAGTAGGGATAAGCGATTTTGAATCATTATGATAAGTGATCCGTAAATCACCAAAAATGTCCTTTTATATCTATTTGTACGTAGCGTATTATCGCTATACATATACGTATGTACATATTTACATGTGTATGTATGTGCATATGCAACTATAAAGATCAACCTGCTGCAAATGAAAATGAATTCTGACACCAAATATGATTGACGTTTCGAAAAAACGGTATATTATGGTGCATTTATAATACACTGATGATATATTGATGATAATACACTGATGGTATATTGATTATATATTGATGTATATTGATGTATATTGATGAAATATTTGATGATATGTTGAGATGATATATTTGATGATATGTTGAGATGATATATTTGATGAAATGTTAGAATGATATGTCGAGATGATATGTCGAGATGAGATATTTGATGATATGTATTAACAATACATTGATGCGCATCGGGTTTTATATTTAATTCACGAAGCATCAAATATTGACATGATCAAATTCAGATTTATTTATTATTATTGAAAATTTATTTTTCGGATCTACCATTTTGTATACGGTCGTACCTGAGCTATATCACCCTTTTTTCTCTATATGTTTTTGAATTTTTTTTGGAGATATAACTCAATATATACAGTAAAACATATAAAAAACATAAAAAAAAGGAAATTTATTCTGTCTAATTATAGGTATATAACTAACCCAGTGGAGATATAACCCAGGTACGACTGTAATTTACCAATTTATACAATTATATAAAATGATAAAACTCAATAATATATAATTTCAAATGTAAAATCGTCATAAATAACTCTCTGCCAATCTTCAGCACGAACCGAGAAAATCAAAGGGGATTTTGGAATCAATTTACATGTTTCAAGAACACCTTTAACACGATATTCATAAAGCATGTCTTCTATAGTATGTAATTCATGGGTATGCATGTTAAAATCTTCGATAACTATAAAAAGTCCAAGTTTTATCCTTTTTTGTTTCTCCCAATTCATTAAAAATGATTTAATTGCAGCGTAACTAAACGTCAAAGTGGTTTCATATTCATCTTCGGAGTAATCAAATTTGATATTACATAAAGTATTTGGTGCATGATCAATAAAGAGATTAAAGAGTATATCACCTTCAAGTAAACGTTTATCATATTCCATTGATTCCCGAACTGAATATTGAGCACGCAGAGAGAAACCTTCTAAATAATGACATGAATCCAATAAGTGACGAATATCTTCAAGTGTTTCATCAGAAATAGAATTGAAAGGAATACTAAGATATCTAAGGTTTGGACAAAAATCTATGATAGCATGAAAAAGCATGCCAGAATTCTCTGGATCTGCGCATAGATAATTGCTTAAATAAATCCTTTTGAGCAACTTATTTGTTCTAGAAATTATTGAAGCCAAGATTGTCAATGAAGGAAAATATCTTCCAAATTCTAAAATTTCTAGAAATGGAAAGCAAGCATTTGCTATACCAGACCAATCGACTTCATGACAAGTTATAATCAAAGATCGTAAATTTCGTAATTCAGAAATACCCAATACGGGAAAACAAGTATCAAATGATTTCAAATAAAGATGAGTTAAAGAGGTAGCATTTCCGGAAGTGAAAACATTAGCAATTCTTAGCCATAATCCATATGAGATGTTATTTATACTTAAGGAATTAAGATTATTCTGATTCTGGATGAGATCGATTAATCCTTCATCGTAATGTATATATAACTTACTATCTAAGGACAATTTTCTAATATTAGATGAAGCACCAGCAATGTATTTGAGTAGATTTAAATCAATTGTATAGGGTTCGTAGCAAGATAACTCCTTTAAAGTTGCAAAACAAGATAATGTATCAGGAAAGAACCAAATTTGAGAATAGATGCGAGGTAATTGATGAGAAATAGTCAAACGAGCTATTTTAGAACTTTGATGAAAGAATAATCTGTAAACTTCTACTCCTAAAAAGTCTCTTGTGTCTTCAGTGTAAAAACAAAGATGATTTCTTTGAGCCTTTCTTAACATGTAATCTATGTCATAAGTATCTAAAGATCTACAATATTTTGCATAATTGAAAAGAGGAGGATCAAGATCGATACGGATACCATAATTAAGTAAAAATTGTTTTGATTCAGCAGAGAAACAAGCAGAGAGAGTCTTTAAAAGCAACAAGGATTGATATTCCACATGAGTCGATCGTTTATGATCATTTGATAAACATCCATTTGAAAGCAATTCATGATGATATTTCCAAGGATTTGACCACAATATCGGAATAGCAGTTGCACACCATGAAGTGTTTACCAAAAGGCAATAATAAAGTGTTGTTAGGTCATTATAAAAGTGCATAAATATTATAGAAAGACAGTCCGCAGGGAGACTTGGCATTTTTAATGATTAATAATGAGATTAGAATAGAGTGAAAAAAACATGTCAAAATGCTAATTCTATGCTGTTTATATATGTTGACGCGTTTTTTTTTGATTTAACTTTAATTGTGATAACGATAATCCCTAAAAAGTCACGTGAATAATTTACGTACGTAACCGGTACCGGTACCTACCCTACGAAAATCCGATGCTCAGAATTAAAGATGCTTGTAAAGTTAAATTGAAATGGTGACCATTATTGGTAAAATTGGTGAAGTTAATTTCACCATTATAAGAAAAACAGGCGAAATTAATTTCATCGCATATTTACCCAGAAACATCCAAATTTAAGCAAATCCTAAAGGTTTTTTTTTTTACAAACAAGTATAATCTCGACAAGAGTATGTAAACTTAATCTTGGTAAGAAACCAATACATAAATGTATATCAATATAAACATATCAAAATGCTTTTCAACCTTATTAGATATAGGAAGATATATTCATCCACTCTTACGTATAGCAAAGCAAGATTATTGACTAATCAAATTAAAGAAATTTTAATATATAAATAGTAGCGAAACTTTAATCTTGTAATATTTCAGTCGACGTAGATTCGTATATATCTACTTAGTATATACGTATATACTTCAATCACATAATTTAAATAATATAAATATAATTAAGTAGTTTCCCACAATACAAAAAAAACTCTTCTTTTATGTACGTATTGTATGTACATCCGTTACTGGTACGTACGTTAAACAATCGATCGTTTTTTTCTTACATTCTTATATATAACTATATATAGTTAGTAAAATTATTCATGCTGTAGTAATAATTGGTAATGTTATTTCGTTTTATAAGCCCATTAGTTTCGTTTCTAATTATTTTAGACAGTGAATCCCTTTTAAGACTAGTCAAAAAGTACTATATAATATATAAATCAAGTACCCGAGCGATATATCAACCAATCATAGAGAAGCCATTCTATGTGACAATACATTGTTATCGATCTTCATTTCAGCTTGGAATACATTTCATCTTGGATACATTTCACCTTTCAGCTTGGAATACAAATTACATTAAACATTACAGCATTGGCTTTAGCATTATCATTAACATGGATCTTCGATGTTCAATTTTTGCATGATCTACAAGTCTCGTGATATAGAAGCTCCGGAATACGTTAGTTCGGAACCAACCAACCCGACTAATTTTGTATAATAAAACATATCATAATCATTAGATCTTAAAGTAATCTTTAGGTACATATATAAGTACTTGCATATGTGAGTACGTATGTACATGCGTTTAAGAATTTAGAATTAAAAACATTGTAAAAAAAATAATCGCAATTCAGTAATTAATTATTCATAGGAAAGAAGCACTGATTGGCTAATTTCATTTGAATGATAAAAGAAATGTATGTACGTACATAAGTATATTATTCTGTGTTTATTTTGTTTATTCTACAGAAAGACTCTCAGAATCTTAAAAGCTTAATCTTTTGATGGTATTACAAAAACAATAAACAAAAATGACACAAAAATAATATCAACACGAGTCTGTTACATGCCCCTTTAAAATAGTTCTATAAAAGTAAATTGTCATTTGCTTTTTTATGCTGAATGCGTCAAATGCGTCAGACACGTTGAGTCTGAAAGTTGTACACATGATCCGGTGCTCGATCCGTACTATTGTTGTGGTCGATTGCCCGGAGTTTCGCGATCAGGTGAATAAAAAAAATTAATGATACTAAAAAATGATGGTTTTTATACAACAATCAGCTTATGTTTGAGTAACCACTTATAACTGAACTTGCGCCCCCCTTCTATATTTATATATGGTACTTTTTACCGTTTTTAGCTGAGAAATTACACATATTCACTTTCTCCCCTTTCAAGTTTTCTCATACAGAAAAAACAAAAAATTTTATTAATTAATTCATACTTTTTTGCAAATATCTTTTGTCTTTCTCATATTATATCTTAAATAAAAAATGACCGGTCGTGGTAAGGGTGGTAAAGGTCTCGGAAAAGGCGGTGCTAAACGTCATAGAAAGATTCTTCGTGACAACATTCAAGGTATCACCAAACCTGCTATTCGTCGTCTTGCACGCCGTGGTGGTGTCAAACGTATCTCGGGTCTTATTTATGAAGAAACCCGTGGCGTATTAAAAGTTTTCCTTGAAAACGTTATTCGAGTATGCTAAACGCTTTTTTATTGAACTTGTCTTTTTATCTCTCTTGTCGAAGACAAAAAGTTCTTTGTAGGTTATTGCCTTTTTAGGAAAATGTATATGTAAACTAACCTATGTTACTCTTCGTTCTTTTTTTTTCTTTTAAAGGATGCTGTCACTTATACTGAACACGCGAAACGTAAAACTGTCACATCTCTTGACGTCGGTGAGTACTTTGTAATCTGGATCTAGTCTCTCTTATCATTATTCATATTACACATCTTTCTCGATTTCACTCGTACTCTCGCAATCTTTCGCATTCCTTTGTATTTCTTTTTTTGCATTTCTTTTTGTATGTGCTTTCATTACTAATGTACTTTCTTTGTGATTGTTTTTTAGTTTATGCGCTTAAACGCCAGGGCCGCACTCTTTATGGTTTTGGAGGTTAAGACTTATCTGTGAAATGGTTTTCTACATTATGAAAAAGAAAACAACTCTTCAAATTTCTTCCCCATTTATGCTTTTATGATTTCCTTTTATAAGGTATTAGCTTTCTTTATACGTAGTTCATTAATATTCTTTTCAATACTGCTTTCATCAAAATATCTTGTTTGTAAAAAGAAAAAAGGCAAAAAAAAAAGATTTTTCTTGAATGTTATTGATGGATAATAAAAATTTTAATTTCTAACTGCTAATCAAATTGGTGAAATGTTCTTAGTCGTTTAGAAGTTATCATTTTTTTCATTAGTGCTAATGCATTTTTAAAATTTCCTACATACTGTTTAGAAAAAGATATTAATCATTTGTAAGGCTCCGCATAAAAAAATAAACTCTAATATTATTTCGAAGCAGTACAAATTGAATATGTACAATAGATTTCGATGTTTGACTTTTTTTTCATCGATAAATAAATATATCAAATCAACTCGAATTTGTAGTAAATTTCATTAATTCCTACGTTTTTTTTTTTTTTTGATCTCGTCAGACCGTTAAAACAAGTTACATTTTAAAATTAATTCTATGTAATTATATCCTTTTTTCTATGTAATTATATCCTTTTTTCTATGTAATTATATCCTTTTTTCTATGTAATTATATCCTTTTTTTGCAAATGCATTATATAGGGCCTTTGCTATGAAAATCGGGGTTTGGGCCTCTTTAACCAAAAATAAGATTTTGATCGTATATTAATCTTTAGCATAAGAATAACTCAATATAATTTTTAGGTGAATTTTTTTTTGATTCCGATATAAGATCTAAAAATAGAACCGGATGTTAATTGTCACATGATATTAATTGTCGAAGTCGACTTTCTACTAGAAGTTAGTTTTTATCACTGTTTTGGGCTACTATAGGTTCTTTGCCATCATTTTGAATTCTGTGATCTTTACTTCCGGTTTTCGCTTCAGGCAGATGTTTTCATCAGATACTTTGTTGCCGCTTTGATACACTGATTTTTATATTCTCTATTTCTGCTTTGAGCTCTTGATTTCTAAATCAAGTTCTTTGATCTTTTAGGAAGTTTCTTGATTTCTAAATCAAGTTCTTTGATCTTTTAGGAAGTTTCTAGATTTCTACTTCGGGCTCTTTATCACCACCTCAGATTTTGTCTTTGTCCCGAGTTCTTTGATCTTTGCTCTGAATTCTTTCACTGTTTCGGGTTCTTTGTTAGTTTATTATTTTTGCTTCAGGGTTTTTTATTGCTACTTTGGGTTCCTTGATCTTTACTTCAGGTTTTCTGTTACCGTTTGAGTTTTTGATCACTAAATCGGGCTTTGTTATTTTTTTATTTTTTTTTTATATTTTCTGTTATTGTTTTAGGTTCTTTGATTTTCTTCTGATTTTTTGTTACTGACTTGGATTTTTTGATCTCTGTTTTGGGTTTGTTAACCTTTGCTTCAGGTTTTTTGGCACTTTCTTGGGCTTTTTGATTTCTGTTTTGAAGTCCTGTTGCTGTATCAGGTTTTTGAATTTTACTTCAAGCTTTTTGTTGCTGTTTCAGGTTTTTTGAACTTCAAGCTTTTAGTTGTTTTTTAATTTTTGATTTAGGTTTTCTGTCATTGTTTTATATTTTTTCACTTCTGCTTTAGGTTTTTTGTTGTTTTTTTGAGTTCTTTAATTTTTGTTTTAGGTTTTTAATTGTTGTCTTGAGTTTTGATTTCTGTTTTAGGTTTTTTGTGATTTTTTGTTATTATTTTGAGTTCTTTGTTGCTGTTTTTTAATATTTGAATTTTTGATTTCTGTTTCAAGTTTTCTATTATTGTAATAGGTAGTTTGTTATTATTTTGTTTTGTTATTTTGCTTTAGGTTTTTGTTATTTTATATTTTTTTAATTATTATATTGTGCTTTATATTATTGTTTAGATTTTTTTTTTTTTTTTAACTTTGGTGACAATGCTAGTTGGTTTATTAGTTTTAATTTGATATAGTACAGATTTTACAGTTACATTTTTAGGATCAATTATTACTAATACTATATATTATCTAATTTTACACTACTAACTTTATCTGGTTACTCTTATGGCATCTAAGTGCATGTTCGCCATATACCTGCATATAGTTACTTTGACAACACTTGCAGTTATGATATACATTAAACTATTACATAAATAAGGATATCTACTAAACTTAATGCAGCATCCCAAATGTCAAGAGTATTGTTTTTTGTAAATCATACTTATGTGTTTCACTTACATGTTTTACCTGGTCTTGTTTCTTCTGTCTCCTAATCTAACTATATCTAATATTACCTTGTTTTTCACATTTCTCATCTTTTTGTTATTGTATCATTTTCAAATTAGTCCTACTCAGGTATGTTTGATCCTTATGATCTTCTTAT